AGGGGCCGCATTGTGAGTATGATAGCACAGCTGATATGCAACAGCACGGAAATCAGCAATGAGGATAAGAAGCGGATGTGCTGGTGGGACGAGAAGGAGATACCGCTTGATCTTTCAGAGGATATTGAGTACATGATTATGCACACCTCTGAGATCACTAGGGAGTTTGCGAAGTATTTCCTGGTGAAGATGGGTGTTATTGTTGAGAGAGAGGTAGCTGGTAGAGTATCCTCACGAGGACTAGGTGGATGTTTACTGCAATAAATTGGTTCGCAAACCTGATGTAGTTGTGTTCTCTTTCCGTGTACTGGATGTGAAGGATTTTTGGTCTTTATTTTCCATCTGTAGCAGCCTCTTCTCCAGGATACAGCATGGCGTTTTAGGTGGGGTTCAGTACATACTGTTTAGATGTATCGTTAAGTGCACCACAGATACTCCAGTTCCATGTCTGCATGCCTGGGTGCTTGGCCAGCTAAGGAGAACGTGCGGGACTTGGTTTAGTAGCAACTAATCCAGAGTCAAGGCTATTAAGTGCTGCAACTAGATTTTGTCTATTCATGAAGTGTGTAGATCACCTACCTTTTCGGCACACGGATACCAATGCCAAGAATCACAGGCTGGCAGCTCAGTAGAACAACAACCAAAGAACATTGGTGCAGAAGATAAAGATTGAAAGGTATTAGTGAATAGAAATGCTTTACTTAGTGTTGAAGGCCAATTTAACTAATTCATGACATCCAACACTGATGCTCCATATCAGGTTCAATGGGCTGGATACGTGCTTTTTTCATTTCATGTTTTAGATTACTAAATGGATGGCATAAGCGTAGATTGTTTAGACGTATTACCATGGAACGATTTGTGAAAACCACCCTAATTCTTGTACACATACTGAATATAGGATTTCCACGCAAGTCCAGATACTTCAAGTTTGGCATGGCTCTGTGTGTACCCTTCTCAGCATCAAAGTAGCTTTGAAGATTAACCTCTCCAATTTGATTACCATTCAAGAATAGGTGTTCAAGACCTGTGAGGCTGGACAAGCATGGCATCTCTGTCAATCCAACATCAACCAAAAACAGTGTTTTTATCTTACTGAGATCTGGGTCGTTCAGTACAGTGACGTCAATTTTTGTTTTTGATATCCATAAGTACGTAGTTCCACAGAAGTCAGTAAGGAACCTCCATGTCTTGATTGGAATATGATGAAATTCAAAATATGATACCGAGATTGTTGTGAGTTTAGACACCCATAGGTATGTTTTGGATCTTAGGACAGCTTGCTCTTTTGGACTGCCATCTTCATTTAAAAGTTTGTACCTGCTTGGAAATCCACATTCTGCTGGATTACAATTACAGTACAGTTTCA